TCTGAACTACCAAATAACAACGAACACTTGATTTTTTTTGTCAGCGGCAGTATGAATTGCTTTTTGGACAATTTCATTTGAGCTAAAATTATTTAAACTACCTCTTAAAAAAGCAAGGCTGCATAAATTTTTTAAGCTGATAAATTTAAGTAAATTACAGTATCTGAGACGCAACGACCCAAATGTATACTGGCTGTACTATCGGATATTCCTGTCATGTTGGATTGCAATGCACTTCATTCATTTATGCACTATTATAGCTAGTATTTTTGGCGCTCAGGTAAATTAAGGAACCGTTGAGGCAACAAGGAAGACGAATAATCAGGATATCTAGATGACAAAAGCTCGTCTTCTTGCTCCCCAGATGATTGTGCTGGTCTTCAAAGTGGGCCTTTATATTGTGGGATCATTTGCTTTGACAGTTATTAGCGTTACCAGTGCTAAAGTGACGTGGATGGCAATGTTGATCATATTCTTCTTTGCATTTTTTACAACGTAAGTTTAGAAAAACAAGGCGGATTCAAAATAAAAGTTCTCATTTCAGCACCAATCTCATTGTTTTGGTCAGATACCATCGAGTTTTGGAAGAGAAGAATATAGCTCTGCGAGCCCTATTGGCAAACACAAAGAGTGTCCACTTCAAAGAAAGACGAGCGTTATAAAACTTCGCTTAGATGTCTGCCATTCATCAAGTTAATACTTCCATTCCGACATTGTCTACATTGCCACTTCTTCCATTCCAATTTCTAAAGTCAAGATAAATACTCAAAAAAAGAAATGGAGGAACAACAAGTGCTTGATTCGTAGGGAAAATACCACAACTATATTTTGGTAGTAGTCTGGAGTATTTAGATTTCATCTTACAGACCGAGAAACGTTCGTTACATGCGGGCCCGCTTGCTGACGCTTATGAGCCGCGGGCCATCGCAATATGTGTGTTTATTGAAATTAGCCGCCGTGCCCGCAATTGCGTCCATTAACAAGGCTTTGCTTTATCTTGCAAAATGAAAATGATGTCTCAGAAACACAAATTCATGCTGAACACCTTTCTCGGAGATATTTTACTAACAAGAAAAAATCAATCTGATGACACATTACCGCTGTCAAAGATGACCGGTGAGCGATCATCAAGTGATGTTCGACTTCTCTCTTGGCAGCTCCTCGTGATGATCCTTTCAAGCACACATGGTTCGCTACTGTAACCTTACTACGTTCATTCAACGAACGTCTACCTAAAAAAAAATACGAAGATTCACTTTTTCCATAGTATTCCATGTGACCGCCTCGAAATGCGGCCCAAGCTCATTGGGTCTAAACACAACCTACGATATTGTTTTAAAAACGCATCGAAAATATCAGAGAGCATTTAAATGCGGCTACATGTTTCAAGACTTTTGGAAAAAATGAATATATTTAGAAAGTTTTTACAACATAGAGTAATCTGCTGGTGGATGAAATTGTGAACTTAATAGAAGGTAGGATAGACAAAAGGGAATAGTAATGATAGTAAATGTAATGGCAGAAATAGAGATGAGTGGGCTTTCCGTCATAAATCAACATTGATTTTATCAAATCTAATCGCTGCGTTTTCCAACTTCTCTGTTCCAACACACTGCAAAAAATACGCAAATCAATGGTTGGCGTTCTTAGTTGTCAGAAAACT